CTAAAAAAGGGGTGGGGAGCAAGGCAAGATTCTGCCCACATGGGCCTGTCCTAGCAGGACTACATTCATAACCCATGACTCCTGGGAAGAAGCATTCAGGGTCCCATGTGGCCGAGGTCAGCCAAGGACAACCTTGGAATCAGATGGGCCTGGGCTTTAATCACAGACAAACTATATACTAATGGTACAACCGTGGGAAAGTGGCAAAACCTCCCTGAGCCCAGTTCTTCATCCACAAAATGTTAAAACTAATCTGTCCTGCATACGGTCATTGTAAGAAGTGTATGAGATGCGTGAGATGAACCTACAATGAAGTGTTCTTATCACACACACACGCACACACACACACATACACAGGGTAGGAGGAAACTTTTGGAAGTGATGGATATGTTTATTGCATTGATTGTGGTGATGGTTCCACTGGTGTATACTTATTTCTAAACTCATCAGGTGGTATCCATCAAACAAGTACAGCTTTTTGTATGTCAATCATACTGCAATAAAGTGGTAAAAAAGAGAAAAAAACCCTACAACAGCACAGCAGCGGAGGGAACTTCCAGTAATTGTTAGTGTCATCCTTTCCCTCCACCTTAGTTTCTGTCCTTAAGAAAACTGCTCTGATATAGAGGAAATCCATCCCCTCACTGAATTAAACAATTATTGTCTACCAGGGCCACTGTGTATGGATGGACAGGTTGTTCCCTGATGAAGGGAGAGAGGGGGCTGAATTCCAGCTCATTATCACCCATCAAGCCAGGTGTCCTGGCCTCGCTTTGTAATTTGCACAAAGGTGCTACATGTAAAGTTCGGGTGCTTCTAAAGCTCTGGTGTCTGATTCAGTAATGATGATCTTGGGCTTTGCCCACTTTGTCTGACGGGGAAACAGTAATCAAGAATTATAATACATATAATTAATGCTATTCTAGGGAAGGCACTATAGGAACATGGAAGAGAGACATTTAAACCTGATGGGGTTGGGGCGGGATCTGTGACATAAAAGATGAGGGGAGAAGGATATTCCAGGCATAGGAGTGACACTGAGTTATTTATCCATTTATCCATTCAGTAAACATGAATATCTACTAAGAGCCAATACTGAAGATACAGCAGTGAATAAAATGAAATCTCTTTTTCTCGTCATTCTGACATTGTAGTAGGGCCAAGAGGAAATAATGACTGAACCTGAGAAACATTAGGTGGCAAGATGTGCTTTAGGGGAATAATGTGCATGGGGTGGTGGTAAGTGGGGTGAGGGGACCACGTCTGAATGGAGAGTAGGGGAGGCCTCCTCAGGGAGTTGTCACTTGAGGTGAGATCTGAATGGCAATTGTGGAAGCTCAGGGATGAGGGAGGGCTGTTACAAAAGTCTTAAGGGGGGGAATGAACTTTGTATTCTGAGGTGGCAAAGGAGACACTTAGGCAAAGTGTATGGGTGAGAAGAGGAGCAGGAGAAGTAACCAGGCGTTGAGCATGGTAAGTTCGGAGACCTGCCAGGAGTTCCATATGGCAGAAGGGAGATCTTTTGACTAGAAGCTGATAGAGGGGGTAAGAGGAAGAACTTCTAACAACACAGTCCCTTCCCTTCTGCCATATGACTGTGTTGTTAGATGATGAGAGGTGAGTTGGGAGAGATAGGCAGGAACTAGGTTATGATAAGTCTCAGCTGGATTTGGGAGACATTTAATTTTGCTTAATGCTATGCAAAGAATCTCAAGGAAGCCATGACTAAAGTCATTGAAAGACAACCTTTATGTTTATGCCTTAAAGGAGGTTTGAATACCAAGTCTTATTTGTGTTAATTGTTCTTGAACCATATTTCTCAATATACAGACCTGTTGGGAGCTTAGAACTCTTCTCAGGTGTGCCCACAAATTCAGATTAATGTACAATTTATTTTTGCAACAACGAGGATATTTACTTGATAGTGATATCTGTTAGATAGAATGTTAAACTGAGTAGGTTGTATTTTACAGGAGGAGGAAACATCTTTCTACTACTAAGAGGTGGGAGGCAGCACATAATGTCAAGTTGGTAACAAATATGTGATATTTTATTAGAGCATGGGAAAACTTTGCCTCATAGTACATGAAGGAGACACTGCTAGCTGCCTACCCGACATCCATGATCTCCCCCTTATTCTTATTGACAGAACCTCAGATTTGATTGTCAGTAAGCCCAGCTGAAAATACTTGTCTTCTAGATTCCCTTTTGGCCAGGGATCATTGTGTGACAAAAGTCTGGCCAGTGAGATCTAGGCGGAAGTCCCTAGAGAAGGTATTCTTTCCTGAATAAAAAGGCAAATCCTGACTAGGAAAAAGCCCTTGTGTCCTGTTCCCCTTTCCTCCTGCTATTTGTAGTCATTTGGTGACTCAATGTTGTTGGGAGTCTTGTAATTTCTTTAAATATGTTGTAAAGCCAACATGTTGAGTTAAGGACAACTGTCTTATGAGGTCTATGACTAAATCTTTCTGGCACTTGTACTGATCTGAGGTAACTACAGACATAAAAAATATATTAAGATGATGGGGGGTGGGAGGATGGGTTAGCCTGGTGATGGGTATTAAAGAGGGCACATTCTGCATGGAGCACTGGGTGTTATACACAAACAGTGAATCATGGAACACTACATCAAAAACTAATGATGTAATGTATGGTGGTTAACATAACAATAAAAAATTTAAAAAATATATTAAGATGATTCTATCAAAAGTACCTCTCAGAGTTCGTAATTTGAGGTATCTTCCATGTATGTCATGTTTCTCCCTGTTTTTGAATTAGAGAAATATAGTCAACAATTATTTCTTAAACGTTCATTTAACATATACTGAGTATCTATAATCACAAAGATAACACTTTCTTATGTGCCATGAGGAACAGAGATGATGAGACCAAGGTTCTTGTTCTTGGGGAGCCAACAATTTTATTAGATGACAGATGTGTTCGTAAATAAATGTTAAAACACGTATGCATATCATGTGGTAGGCCATCCCAGAAAAGCCTCTAAGTGGACATGAACATGGATGCAGAAAAAAGGAACATGCCCCCAAATGCAGGCAAAGCACACATTTAAAGCCTGGAACCTGGACATCCAGCTTGTATGGATGGCAATGGGCTCACGCTGTAGCAAAATTATTGCCTTATGTGTAGTATTAGTTATTTCTGGATGATGGAGAGCCTGGTGTTATAAAAGGTATGGATTTCTGTGCTCCTCCAACCTGGGGTCATCTCACTCAATGTGGGCCAAGGTTGCTACACTTCTGATATGTAGTCATTTGGAGGGATGATGGAAGGAAATCATGGGAGCTGTGTCCCCCAACCTGCATCCTTATCTGGTTTACATGCTCTGTGTGGCTTACTTGCTGTTTCAGGATTAAACAAAGGAAAAGCCACCCTAAAATATGGCCCCTTGGAGAGCATCTTTGAATGGGCTATGTGACCTGTAGGGATATAATAAATGGCAACAGAGCATTACAAAGAGTGCTAAGAGTTGTGAGGAGGAAGAAACAATTCTGGTTAAGGCTTCCCTAAAGCTTCACATGGCTGAAGAATGGAATGTGTATGGGGAAGAAGTGAGAGATGGAGTTGGAAAGGGAGTCCAGGCCAACCTAAGAGGATTGGTGTTGAACATATTGGTGATGGAACAAAGGAATGTTTTTGAGCAACTATTAAATTAGTGAATTAGTAAAATAGGGGATCATAAATAAACCTGGCAGCATTATCATTTATGAAACCTTGGTGAAAGGACTGGAAGATCCCTTTAGGTGCCCAGGTTTGAACTGAGGCCATGTGTGACTGGAGAATAGGACATGAATTTTGAGTTTTATTGTAAAACTGTTTTGGGGGGCACTAAAGAAAGCGGGGAACCATGTATGAAGTTGAGTTTTTGAATTTGGACATATGGGAGGATAGTAGTACTGTGAACACACAAAGGGCACAGGAAGAGGGAAACAGTTCTTGTTTTAGCGATATTGGATTGAGGTGCTGGTGGCGCATTCAGGTGGAAATGTGCTACAGGCAGCTGAAAATAAAAGAAGGAGCGCAGGAGAGAGGTGGAGTGGGGGATGAGTCACCTACACTGAGGTGAGTCAGTGAGTTTGGGCTATCATAAGCATAATACATGAACCTAATGACAGGTCCCAAATACAGGTCCCAAATGTAACAAGGAAGACGTATCTACGAGCGCCTTGGAAAATAAAAAACACTGTGATATTGGTATTTATAGTTTGTTTGTTTTACCAGCTGTTAAATTCTCAGAAACCAACTCTTATCCCAGAATGACCTCCTAACTGGCAGGTAGAATTGTTAAAGGACTCATTCTTGTGTAGAAATGTGACTCCTGTGACACAGAATCGCCAGATCTTTCTAGTCTATAGTAGGAGAATTACACGAACTACACGACTAAGTAGATTAAAGCACACTTTTTTTTGGAGGTAGGGGAGCACACAGCCCCTCAGTTACAGATATTGGTGATCGCTAAACTAATTCAACAACTAAAACCTTGGAGGTGTTCCGAGGAGGGGTATGTCTGTGCCTGGGCGGAGGCTGCACGGAAGCAGGGGAAAGATTAAACAGAAGAACGCAAGCCGCGAGACAAAGATGAGCTAAGCTGATTGCGTAGCTCCCAGTTGGAAGCTGGCCTTCGTCATCAAGCATACTCGCTCCATTGCTCATCGCCCGGGAACAACTCGGTCTATTCCGAGGCGGGGCCGCTGAGAAGCAGGGGAGGGGTCACGAGTAGGGAGGCAAGTGCTCAGAAAAGCCCGTTGGGAGGAGATACAAAGCGAACTTCCCCCTAAGCCTTACTACATTTCCCAGAATTCAGTGCGGCAGTGAAGATTTGCTCCCTGGGCGCTGCTGGCAGATTTGCGACATGGGATTGGTAGTCAGCATCCATCGGCCACCGGAGGTAGGACTCTGGTGGGGAGAGCTATTGGGATTGGCTGGTGAGAGTTCGAGTCCCGCCCACAGATGGTGACGACAGGCAGCGGTCTTGCTACTTAAGGCGTCGTGGCCCAGCCCGCCCCGCCTTAGCTCCCGCGCTAGAGAGAAACATGTATCGTTTCCGACCACAGCTCTTCACGGGGATTTCTGCTGCTGCCACCGCCCACTCGTACCCCCGCCGCTTCTCGCCTCTGTTGTTAGCCGAAGACTCGCCTCTTAGCCGCCCGCCGCACAGACGCACGAGTAAAAAGTGCAGCTCCATCGGCTGATCCTCGCTAAGCTCCGAGTTTAGGCGGCACCGGGCGTCCCACGATGCCGAAGAATAAGAAGCGGAACACTCCCCACCGCGGTGGCAGTGGTGGCAGCGGCTCAGGGGCAGCTGCAGCGACGGCGGCGACAACAGGTAAGGGGGTATCCCAGCCGCCGGCATCCCAGTTGCCAGCCGGGCTAGCGAGTCTCTTAACCTCGGGCACTGTGGGATTTGTAGTTCCATCCCTCTGGACATATGTATCGGCGGGGCGCTTTGCTTGGCTGGCGAACTACAATTCCCAGCGTGCCTTGGGGGCAGTACCTCGCGCGATTTGGATCTGGCTGGCGAACCGAACTCTTAGGCACCGGCCTTGGGGGCGGGGAGGGGGGGCGCGAATAGGTTCTAGGGCCTGAGAGTGGATCGGGGTCCGGGGTGACGGATTGATGGGCGGGAGAGGCACTGTTCTGAGAAGCTGGTGCTTGCTCTTCAGAGCTCTCACCCTGACGGAGGGTGGGGCCGAGATAGGATTTGCGTCTTGCTGTCAGTGGTTGCCTTTGACCCACCGACTCCAGCATGGAGTTCTCGGGAATGCCAAAGGTCCGGCGGGTTTGGCCGGGCTCTTGCGTCACGAGGCCTGGCCCTTGCGCTGTGGGGCCGGCGTGACGCAGAGGCGCCCGTGTGGCATCCCATTCAGTTGCCTTCTTGGGCATCCCGCGTGTCTACCTGGCTGGGCGGAGGCGTAGGAGACTCGGGGCCACTGTCCCAGCCTAGGCTCTATTCCTACTACCAACTGGCACTTGCAGAAATCCCGCGCCCCCGCTTACTCTGCGGCCGGACGGTCCCGGCGACCTCCTTCTCCCCGGGGCAGAAACCGCGTTCTCCTTTGTGCTGCATTCTATAGGTTCTGTGCCCTGAGACAGGGATGGGCGAGGTGGTGGGGAACTCAGGTTGCAACTGGCCAAAAGTTGAGATTTTTGTGTGTGTGTGTGTTCTCACTGCAAAGTTGAAGCTTTTCCTGGATGGGTAGGTGCTTCGATGAACTCATGATTCTCTACTACTAACTATATAGGGTTAAGAAAAAAGAACTTCAAAGCGGAAAGTCCTATGAGACACCACTAAACTTAAATCGAGTATTAAGTTAAACTGGGTGAAATCATCTCATTTAGTAATTTTTTGGTCGAGATTTTGAAGTTAAACATTGGAATTCTCAGACTTTATCCCATCGAAACTACTACTAGCCAGTATGTATTTGTCAACACAGTTGCTAATCCGATCCTCGGATTGATACGCCTTTGTTAGTGAGTAGACCGGTTTTCTTGTTAAAGATAATTGGAAACTGGCGTTTAAAACGCTTTCCTGTGGGATTTATAGCAGCATGAAAACTTGTGTTCCTGTATTAAACATTTAATAATTGACAATAGGAATGAATTATTATAGTTGCAGGTTTTTTTTCCTTTTCTTTATATCGCTCTTTATTTTGATTGTATGCCCTCGATATTCATGAAATTCATTCTTGATCAAGATTAAAATTCAAAATTAGTTTGTTGTAGCATCTGATTGCTCTGTGTGAATAGGGGATACCTCTGTTCTTCTCTGTATTTCATCTTTTCCTCCTCTGAAGTCAATTTGAATTGTCTGGGAGGTCCTTATTCATTTTATTCTCTAAGTTTTACCTTTTGTTGGAACAAATGATGGTGAAGCAGCAAGCCAAAGTCATTTTAAAAGTTGTAACGATGTTACTAATGGCTTCCTCGAATCACAAACAAATCTTTATTCCCTCAGAGGCTCTCAAGTTTCCTTTCTTCCTGGTGCTGACCGAATAACCTCAGGTGGTACTGGGGGATTGCCTTTCAAATTTTACCTCGAGGCTCTTTCCTCATCTCTCATCAGCCTTATTGCTGTTGCTTTTTTTTTTTTTTTCCCGGTAGAAAAGGTAAATTTAAACAGTGAATTTTAGCTTATTTAAACAAATGGAAAAGAATTCTTCGATGAGTTTATAAAACTGTACAGGCTTTGAATATCTTTGGAAATTTACGCTAGTACTTGTTATCTGTGCTTACCTCCGGTAAGTGGGGTATGCAGTGGGATTTACTTTTTTAAGACCTTAATTTGGTTCCATGTGAATGTATTATTTTTTAAATGAATAAATAATAACTGAGTAGAAGAGACAAAGTTGTCACAAATTTGTACTTACAAGCCATTTACTTTATTGGTATTTTTAAATGACATCTAGAAGAGATGGGATTCAAATGAGATCTTAACATGTACAATCAAAAGATAACCAACTTTCCTATCACTTTGATTTTCCATTTAAATTCTTTCTCTTTTAAGTTAGTGGAAGGTTCTAGAAAGCTGATAAAATTGACAAGTATGCATACTTTTCATTGCACTTAAGGAGAGCCTTTTTTTATGAAAGAACAGAACCTTGTTAGTAAGTAAACCTCCTAAAATATAAGGACTTTATGTGTCTAGAGTGTCACCTAACTAATATTACTTGGGATCGCATGGTGGGTGAATTTGATCTAGATATCAGATATTCATACAGGGTTCTTTTTCTTGATTTGTTGTTTTTGTTTGTTTAACTTCTCTTTCCTGTAGTCTTGGAAACTGATTGAAACTTAGAGAAAGCTGAGTAAGAGCTGTATAGGAATACTCTTCTTGGCAGTTTAGAAGCAGACTGAATATGAAAAGTAAAAAATATGAATTGCTTGTAAACATGTATTAATAGAAATCAGATGACTCTCGACTATTCCCATGACTTCAGATCATGAAGACAATGAAGATAGATCCAGAAATAGAATATGATGTCATAGATCTTGGTTTATTTGTTTGTTTACTCCTGCCGTAAGCACTCTGATTAATATGTTATGGTATCCCGGCTTCAAAGCTTATTGTTTATGCTTTTCCTACCTTGATTGGCGAAGTTATTCCTTTGAGATAGCAAGCAAATTTGAAGGCTGCTTGCCACCTTGTGTTGATTTAAAAATCAGCCAAATTCTATTTTGATTAAAAAAAAACTATAAAAATATCCCCAAAAAACTGAACTTAGCAAGTTTCAACATAGAAGATTAAAAAAAAAAAAACCAAAAACTCTTCTTAAAGTAGTAAGTGCCATGAATTTCTTGAACATAGGCACCTGGTGATGTTTGGTGCAATCTTTGATTTTACTTATAAGGGAACTTGGGCTCAAAGGTGAATCAGGTGACTCAAAGTCACTTTTGGGGCAGATTTTGGGAATGACTTTAACTCATTGCTCAATGTAATTCGTGACTAGCATACTTTTATTATTAAATCCCTGCAAAACAAAACATAACTATGGATTTATTTTTTAAGTTAATTTGAGGAAAGATTCTAGTTTTAAAAAAAGATTTTATTTTGGGGCGCTTGGGTGTCTCGGTGGAGCATACGATTCTTGATCTTGGGGTTGTGAGTTAAGCTCCAAGTTGAGTGTGGAGATTACTAAAAAAATAAAATCTTAAAAAGAAAAAGATTTTATTCAGTAACAGCCCTGATGTTTTTAAAACTGTTGGATGTGTTAACCTTTCTTTTAAAGGTGAATCATCTAACAGGCTTTTATACCATATCAAAAGCCACAATTTCTATTTTACCCCCCCTTTTTAGTAAAGATTTTATTGGTTTGAGAGTGTGCATGTGCATGCGTGCACGTGCAGGGGGAGGGGCAGAAGGAGAGAGAATCTCAAGCAGATTGCACTGAGCCCAGAACTCAGAGCCCAGAGCCCAACATGGGGCTTGATCCCATGACCCTGAGATCATGACCTGAGCTGAAATCAAGAGTTGTATGCTTAATCGACTGAGCCACCCAGGCACCCCCTTTTTCCCCCCATAATTCAAGTTATCTTTAAAACTACTATCTCTTAATGTCTTAATTCTTCACATATGGTGTATAACTTAAAAATTAACCCATTTACCATGTTTATGTTTATTAAGCTCAGTCATTCTCCTTGAAAAATACGCTTTTCTCATTCTTATGGCCTATTATTTCATACTCTTTCTGGATCTATTTTCATTGTCTTCATGATTGGAAGTCATGTTTTGGAAGTACTTTCTTCAACCACAATACCAGTTTTTGATATATTTCTGAAGTTGATGTATATTATAAACAGTTGGTGGTGTGAAAAACAGGTGAGTTGACTTATTTTAGAATATTTTAGTATGTTCTTTTGTAGCGTAATCATCCCTTTTAAATAAGGTTGGGTTTTTATTACTGGATTTCTCCTAAATAAATTTAAAAATTCCCAGGTTAAATTTTTGAGCATGTGGCAACATAGTCATCTACTTCCATCCTCTTTTACCTAATAGGTGGCCAGCATCGAAATGTTCAACCTTTTAGTGATGAGGATGCATCAATTGAAACAATGAGCCATTGCAGTGGTTACAGCGATCCTTCCAGTTTTGCTGAAGATGGTATGAGTTTTGAATTTAAATTTGCAACTTTAGATAAAAGGGTGTTTTAGGTAGAAGAATTCTTATAGCTAAGGTACACTATCACTGTTTCCTATCTGCTTTTTTTGTACTTAAATTACAATGGTTAGTTTATATTATTCCTTAGGACCGGAAGTCCTTGATGAGGAAGGAACTCAAGAAGACTTAGAGTACAAATTGAAGGGATTCATTGATTTGACCCTGGATAAGAGGTAGGAGATACTGGAAACTTTGTTCTTCTGTGTGATTTTGATCAGTCACTTATGTGTATTATATACAGTTCTCTGATTTAACAGTATGTTTTTCTAAAGCCTGATTTGTTTACTTTGGATCTTTTTTTTTTATTTTTATAGATTTTATTTGTTTATTTGAGA